TAAGTATAGCACAGTAAAGTGCAAAACATAATGAAACGATATCGAGGTTTTAACCTGGAAAAATGACTCCATCCAATGACTTCTCCCGCCCAGGGTAAGGCGAGAGAGAGTGTCAGACTCTTACTGACTAAAAACCCCCCCGTTCCTTCTCCTGCTCTGGACCAAGGTCGCGGTGCCTCATTGCGCTTACCCTGCAGCCCCGGCTGGAAAATGAGCCCTAACTAAGGTTTTTTGAAACTACCTTTTTAATTCTTACTCGTGAAATCAAGCAATAATTATAGTCGTGGTGGCCTGGAAGTTACGGCGCCCGGTTCTTATGCATAAGGATGCGTGTTCGTAATATGATTATTAGACACCACTTACATACTTACTTATAATTTCTTAATATAGGTTTGAAATCGCCAATCCGCCTTGAGCAACCTTTGTGATTAATGCTTAAAGCTTCTCCGAGTGAGAAGAGGCCTTTGTAAACAGTGGGCACTTTTATAGGCTGTTGATGATGAAATCAAGCAATCTATAGAATCAAAATCGCGTTAGCGCACGTTAACTAAATGCTTAAAATCTTTTAAAATAAATAGTGCACAAGTGTACATTCCAGAATACATTCGTCAATTGAAAAATGAATTCTATTATAATAGATCTACAGTCAAAATTCATTACAATAACTCCAGACAGGGAAACCCGATAAAATAATGAACCAACGGCGAGTCAATCAGAGGACAGATAAACAAACAAAACTTAAATTTACTCGTCCCAGTAAACTTTTGATGAACAATAGCTTTGTTTATGATAAATGTACCCAATAACTTATTTAATTTATTTACGAAATCGATTTAAGCGATTTTGATAGGCATTTTAAGTTGAAGCAATTTATGATATTATATTTCATACAATCTGTTATTATAAATGTTTAATTAATAAATCGGTGGAATAAAAATCGTCAAAAGAGGCTTAATATACTGTAATATATTATAGTTAGCTATGATATAGTTTAACAAAACGTACATTAAACATTCTACAAAATTTAAAAAAGGTTGGGGATATATTTCTGTCTCTTTTCGATAATTTTCGTGAGTGGTTTTTTTATTGAACAGGGGTATCAAGCAGGCGGATCACTTGAAGTCAAGCTATACTATTAACGTCTGCTGAAATGAAAAAATAATACCTTCTACACTAGATGTACGGTTCATGCAGAGTTGCTATCCTTAAGATTGGACTACGAAGACAATATAGGAACAAAATAATGAACCGTAAAATTTATTCTAAAACACTTTTTATGATCAATTTAAAACTATCAGTAGTTGTAGAAATTATAGTAATCAATTTACTGTATTTAAAATTGTACACCTTTTAACAAGCGCGATAATGTATTATCAACTGAGACGTTTTAACGAGATGTTAAGATTCTCAATTAAGCCAAAGATTGAGACTAAGCTTAACTAAGACTCAGAATAAGTTTTCCTTTAAAGCGAATGTTCTACACAGAATCTTAAAACGCTTGACTGTTTATATAAGACCGTCCGTCCGTTGCAACCGAGGTATTAATTCTAGATCTATCGGGCAACTTGAGATGCACTTAACAAGTTGGACTCTTAAATACACTATCCACTTCGTGGTTCGTACCTGTAATACCTCAAAGGAATTGACTCAGATGATAAAGTTATAGAGTAAATTGAGCCACTTAAACCATGTTATATTGGCGGGGTTGCGCGGAGGGGGGGGGGGGTTTGTAAGTGCAACAATTTCAAAAAAAAAAGGGTGTGGGTGACTTTAAATCACAGAAACCGGCGTGAAACAACCACAGCGTTGTATTTCGCCGTGTGAGTGAGGTTACCGGAGGCCAAAAACTTCGCCTATTCTGATCCCTCCCCAATCCCTTAATCTCCAAAACCCTAATCCCTAAGACGTCGGCAACGCACTCGTAACTCCTTCGTTGCGGATGTCCATGGGCAGCGCTGATTGCTTACCATCAGGTAATCAGACGCTCGTTTGCCGATCTATCACATACAAAAAAAAAAAAATAATACCGCAGCTCCGTCCTGGAGCAGAAGAAGGAACGAAATGGTTTTTAGTCAGTCAGACAATCCGTATCGTCTGATTCCGGGCGGCAGAAGTGATTCTATGATTTTTCCTCTTTAAAAAACCTGTTATATTATTATTATGGTATTACTTATTAATGTAATGCTTGCTGAAAATTCAAAAGCAAAAATTAAAATTAAAATTCCAACAATAGTTGGCCCGATCTAGGAATCAAACCTATTTGGCTTACTTGGCTATTGAACTTGAAACCAGTCAATGATATTTTTTGACTTTAAAACGTAATATAGTATTACAGATCTTAAAGTGATTTACACATGCAACGCGAAGTTGAAAATGTTGACGAGCGCGCCTGACAGAAACTTTAGACAGAATCAAATTCACAAAAATATCTAAGAAGTGCATTATTTGCCATAACCCAAGAAAAGGACAAATAAAACAAACTGAATTTTATTAATTGAATTAAATGAAACAATAATTATCAAATTCATGTATGATGGAGGCCGCAGGCAGGGTAGGCCCCAGAAAAGATGGCGTGACGATCTAGACGCCTATCGTCGAGACTGTTGGACACGGTCGAAGGATCGGGAGGTGTGGAAACGAGATGGGGAGGCCTTTGCCCAGCAGTGGGGCATTACAAGCTAGTAAAAAAACGTAATATTTATATTATCAATATAATATTTTTGATACAAAGTACTTTCTGCTCCAGTTATTCAGAATTTGGACCTATCTGGTTGTTCAATGGACTGTAGGCAATATAATTTTTTATGTTGCCTATTTCTAGCTTACTGAATAGATTTTCAGACTCGTGTTTTACGACGCATAAAATGATTGCTCATGAATTTTATGCCTATTTATTTTGTTGAGTCAAAGTTCGCGACAACGTGAATTGTCTCAACATCAATGTGTATGTATGTGTATGATTGAATATCATTTGCTTTTGATTTATTGTGAGTTGTTCTTTAAATAGATAAAACACAATCGGCCTTATCACAAAACAAGGTTTTACTTAAGTCTAGGACTAAACCATAGAGCCAGTTTTCGTATTTCGAATTGAAGGTAGATGACGATAATATTCAAAATTCAAAACCCGACTCAATGGTTTAAACCTGGACTAAAGATAAACATTGTTTTGTAATAAGGGGGAATGAATTTTCAATTTCCACGGGACATGTATATTTAATTAATATTTTATGTTTAACGGCTTACTCACGTATCCCTAGTAAAACATAATACTTTAAAATTGTTTAAAATTGGGATCGACCAATATTATTGTTATTAACTATGTGCTTATTGGGTTGCTTGATAACAATATGTATCTCTGTATTTTTTTTATGATACATCTCGGCGAGCGAGCAGACGGAGTACCTGATGGTAAGCAATCAGCGCCGCCCATGCAACAACTGAGGAGTTACGAGTGTCAGACTCTTACTGACTAAAAACCCCCCATTCCTTATCCTGCTCTAGGCTGAGGCCGCGGTGGTTAATGGCGTCGCAGATTGCTTACCATCAAGTATCTGTTAGCTCGTTTCCAGTCCCATGACCTTAAACAAATTAATTTTAAAATTATATTTCAGGCAAATGAGTCTAAAATACAATTCATATTGTCAGCATAAATTTATACTAATTTGACCTTTTTTATATCGTCGCCTATGCTCTGTGCCAGCAAAAAAGTCTATCAAATTAGTTCTTATTAGGGTATACCTACGTTAGTAGCTCTAATGAGCCTAGGGTTTAAGCTTGGGTAAAGCAAAAAATAATATTTCTTTTTCAATTTCGTGAGTACCTAGTAAATACAAGATTGTTAATTATACTGTGAGTGTAGGCAGAAGGATAATTACAAAATACATGGAATATGATACTAAAGAATAATTAAATTTTCATTTAAAAAATGTACCTTGTTGTAAGATTACTTAATGTCATAATTTTATTAACAAACTTGACAAAATTACCGGATGACTCAAATAGATTGTAACAGTCAATCATCTAACCAAGGCGTGGATGGGCCAACATTTTTTCAAGTTTGCACTAGATTTTTTGGAAGGCTTTGTGGCAGAAGTGCTGTTTTGGTGAAACTGTGCTTCACTTCATGCAATTTAAGTCAAAATTGAGCGCTTACAGTACCGCAGCGTGCTTTTTAATTATGTAAAACAATTTTATAAAAACCATGATTCCAACGTTACTGTACGACGGTTGTTGAGAATTGAATACCTATGAATTACGCCGTATCCATAAGTGAGTGCCCAAGTGGTAATTTGATCAAATCTTGGGTCGAAAAGTTCGAGCGTGCAGGATCAACGACGAGTGTTAAACAAACAAGGCTGCCACGCTCAAGAAGATACGATTAGAACATTCGAGAGAACATGGAACGATCCAGAATCATCTATGCATAAGTGTTCTTCGGATCTGGCAATACAAAGAACAATCAATGGAAGATTTGAGCCTTGGACCTCAAACTGCTCTCACATACGCTGCAAATTTTGAAGGTGATGAAATCGAGTGATAACATGCAACATAAGTTATTGGATGACACTATGGTGGAGCGATTCCACCTTGATGGTGTATTGTTTACGGTCAAGGACCATTCTCATATCTATCATAAGAGCATAGCACTATTGTCAATATTGAACATTTGCCTTAAACATCAAAAGCAAAGTGATTTAATCACCTAAAACGACAGCAGAGGCTGCCATATCAGTAACTGGCCTAAATTTATTTAAACATAATCAAGGAAAGAATATGACTGTGAATTCTACAAATAAAGCATATGCTAGCGAGTTTTCCAAATTTTACCTAGACGATTATTATAACGATACACACATTACATGATTATAACGATAAAATTAAATAAATTATCAACAAAATTACATCAATAAAATTCTGGTTTTATTTCCATTCATGTTTCAGAATTTTAAAAATTTTTGGCTTCTTAAATTCTAACTATCTACTTTTATTTGTTTCAGGCAATATCAGACTTCTTGCTGGGTGTATTCTGTCTACCTTTCACACTAGTCGGACAGATATACAGAAGGTTCTTATTTGGAGCACTCATGTGCAAACTTATCCCGTTTCTACAGGGTGAGTGTTTTTAAATTTATTCTTTCCATTACTTTGATAATCCAATAAGACGGAAAAATATTGTACAAGTTATTCAAAAAGGCAGCTAGTTGCCTCGTCAGTCTAAAGGTCGCTAGTGTTAGAGAAGGTCACTAAAGTGAAGGGCGCCGCCTAAGGATGCATTGACGACCTTTTGGGATTAGGGTTTCGGAGATTTTGGGGTTGGAGAGGGATCGAGCCAGGAGAAAAAGGATTTGGCCAGTGGTAACCTCACTCACACGACGAAATATAACGTTGTGCTTTTTTACAGTTTCTTTCATTAAAAATTCTTCTCCAAAAATTCTAACAAATATTTGGTAAAGAGGATACATTTGCTTACACTTTCAGAAAACATTAATAAATTAGTTACTTTTAACAAAATACGTGATAAATAAATAGGAATTACCTATGTTTTGCAAACCGCTAAAACCGCTAAAATCGTGTGAAGTTTTAATTTAATCTAATTCAATAGCTTTTAAATCCTTTGTTTCCCAACACGCAAATAAAGGCCATTAATACTTACTGACGTTTAGCACCAATTAGTTCCTACATATTCGGCGAAAACAGCGTTCAATGGAATTTGTTATTTATAAATTTGGATTATTTCGCGTTAGTCTGGTGCAAAACTATAATTGTTCTTAGAAGTTTTATAGCAATTTCTGACTAAAGTGCACTAATTTAGTTATATTTTTGTCCGACATGTATATTGTCTCCTTAAGTCCTTAATAACCCGCAAAGGACCGGCAACGCACTTCCTCCTTTAGTATTACAAGCGTCTACGGGCGGTGCCGATGATATAATGTAAGCAACATTAGGTAATCCATTTCGTTAATCAATTTCCTAATAAGAAAAAAAAAACTTTCAAGAAACAACAACAATCCACAGTTAGATGATCCATGTTTTAAACTTTTTTTTTGACAAGCAATTAATACTGTGTCGTAATGCTAAAAGTATTTAAATCCACAACTCAATGTTGATGTAAACGAACTAGTAGTAGCTATTGTCGCGCGGTTTCAGGTTTTTCCGCTGCTCAGCTCTATTTGATCGTAGCTTGATGTTTTATACCCTATATCAATCAGATTGCACGGTTGGCGCGGTGGCTGGGCCGTGCGAGGTGTTGTGGGTTCGATTCCCGCACGGAATAACGCTTTGGGTGAAAGTCCTAGTGTGACAGTGTGACAGTGTGGCAACGTTTTTATAAATATAAAGAAACATGATAGCTATCGATCAGTGAAAGAATTTTCCAAAATTTGACCAGCGGTTTCATAGACAGAAACTCTTTATAATGTTAGAATAGATGGCTGACACTAAAATTAGAACTGAAACCTTATAATCTTCAATACATCAAAGAGGTTTTCATTACCGATACGTGCTACATTCATCATAAAGTGTCGCTTTCTAACATTTCAATGACGCTCCAGTATTATTGAATACTAACACGAGCGACTAAAATACTGTTTCACAGAATTTGAATGTAACTATGTAGGTATGTAAAATTTAATATACGTATAACGTAATTAATTTCTATGTGCTGCTATTGTCTATTGAGAACTTATTTGAACGCTGGTGCAGATATAATACTGTACCACGGTTAGAAGAGGCAAAGGGGAAGGGGTGGGTTTTAGTCAGTAAGAGTTTATGATTGGACTGTACGATTGGCGCGGTGACTGGGCAAACTGGCTTTCGTGCAACTTGTTGCGGCTTTGATTTCTGTGCGGAACAACCCTTTGTGTGATCCACAAATTGTTGTTCCGGGTCTCGGTGTGATGTGTATGTGAAATTGTATGTTTAAAATGCACCCACGACACAAACAAAAAAATGTTAGTGTGGAGCAAGTGTTTTTTGAAAGGAAAGAACATTTCCTCTTGCCGAGCGATAGAAGTTATTTGATGATCTCTCCCCTCAACCTAAAATACTCACCCACCGCGAAAACATCATAAGATGAAGATTTCCCAAAAAAAAATATATAAACGTTATTATGATTTAGCAACAATCACATTTAAGCCATTTAAAAAAAAACATAAAATAACTTCACAATAGTCAGTTTACGAAGATTGAAAATAAAAATACTTTGGTTGCCAAATTATTTTTTTTTAGAGACGGTCCAAAATTTTTATTGATTTATTTTTATATAAAAAACCAACTTTAGTATTACGTAACAAAGCAATTTTGTTTTTATGTACTCTAACATAAATCTTCTTTTTCAGCGGTATCTGTGTCAGTCGACGTGTGGACATTGGTCGCGATATCTCTTGAGAGATACTTTGCGATCTGTCGACCTCTAAAGTCCAGAAAGTGGCAGACACAGTGCCATGCCTACAAAATGATTGCCATGGTTTGGATCTTGTCCATCGTTCTGAATTCACCAATCCTGATCGTCTCTGATCTTCAGCCTATGAGGGGCAACGGTAAGTAGATCTTATTTTTTTATCTTATATATTAAATTCTCGTGTCACAATATTCATCACCTTACGCCTCCGAAACGGCTTTACTGATTTGTACCAAATTTTAAATGCATATTCAATAGGTCTGAGAATCAGCTACTGGCTAATTTTATTTTCCCTAAGTGCTAAAGATAGAAGATAAGAGTTAGAAATATAGCGTTGTGATGCGTTTAAATACAAAAGCATTTACTATAGGTAAAAAAATTAAACCCAATACTATTTTCTCTAAGCAATGAAACTACACGGTAATAATAAAAATGTAATATCAATTTCCATAGAAATAACAACACTGTTAATGGATGTGGTTTGGAAATTTCAATTGTTAATAATTTGTCTGTCATTACAGAATTTATTATTATTATTTTAACAAGCGCCATTTTAGAAGTCCTTTAACCTTTAGTATTCCCTTATCTAAAAATAAACATTTTCAATTACTGTTATTTCTGCTGTTTTAACACTGAATGTAGCAGTCAAAACCATTTGAGACTTGTGAACGAAACATTCCCTTCAAGTTTCTGAACAATTACAAAGTTATTGTGTATGTAGGTACAAAATTAAACAAATTTTGGATGTTTTCGACTGTAACTTCGTTTACGGGAACCACAAAAATGCAACAAATTTTAGTTTTAAAAGAGTTTGCTTCCAAGCAATTTAACCTTAAATCTACATGTTTGCTAATTATCCCTACAACTTTCACATATGAATTTTTGCCTATTCGTATTTCGAATGCTATTTAAAGCAGAGACAAAATATATCCTACAGATCTGACTTAAAGTCGCTTTCAATTTTAGATTGCTTTTTATTAGTGTTTGAATAAATTAAGCTCGGTTAATTAAATTTAAGTGACAAAAAAACAATTTTTTAACTATTATTAAATTTGTAACCATGCTATTTTTATTAAACGGTTTTTATTATTAAACGGTTTTATTTAGCTCACCTTTATTCTTTCTTGGGTCAAATTTAGTAATTCAAATTTCACCCTCTTCCTGTCAACCGATTAATCTGAAATTTTGTATACACTTTTGCTTTTGGTGACAATACAATTATGTGTAATCATAACAATTATAAATCCAAAATGGCGGCCGCTACAAAATGGCGGATAACGTAGGTTTTATCAATCCCATCAATATGGGTATCAAATGAAAGGGCTCAACGAGCAGAATACAATATAGCTACTATAAACAATTTAAATCCAAGATGGCGGCCGCTACAAAATGGCGGATAACGCAGGTTTTATCAATCCCATCAATATGGGTATCAAATGAAAGTGCTCAACGAGTAGAATACAATGTACTATAAAAAATTAAAATCCAAGATGGCGGCCGCTACAAAATGGCGGGTAACGTGGGTTTTATCAATCCCATCAATATGAGTATCAAATGAAAGGGCTCAACGAGCAGAATACAATATAGCTACTATAAACAATTTAAATCCAAGATGGCGGCCGCTACAAAATGGCGGATAACGTAGGTTTTATCAATCCCATCAATATGGGTATCAAATGAAAGTGCTCAACAAGTAGAATAAAATGCACTATAAAAAATTAAAATCCAAGATGGCGGCCGCTACAAAATGGCGGATAACGTGGGTTTTATCAATCTAATCAATATGGGTATCAAATGAAAGGGCTCAACAATGCGAATACAATTTACTATGCAAAATTGAAATCTAAGATGGCTGCCGCTACCAAATGGCTGATAACAATTTTTTATCAATCCCATAAATATGGGTATCAAATAAAAGGGCTTGACAAGAAGAATACAGTGCACTATACAACCTCAATATTTAAGATGGGCGCAGCCACTAAATGGCGTATAATAATAAGATTTAAAATTAGAAATTGAATCTGTAATTTTGGTATAATTTATTTATATTTAAGTTTGGGAGAGCCATGCTTCGGCACGGATGGGTCGGCTCGACCGGAGTTATACCACGGCCTCACAGAAAACCGGCGTGAAACAACCACAACGTTGTGTTTCGCCGTGTGAGTGAGGTTACCGGAGGCCCAATCCCTTTCCAATCCCTAAAAGGTCGGCAACGCATCTGTAACTCCTTCTTTGTTGCGGGTGTCCATGGGCGACGCTGATTGCTTACCATCAGGTAATCCGTATGCTCGTTTGCCGTCCTATCACATAAAAAGAGGTATCTGATTGGTGTTTAGTACATTTATCTTAAACATTGCAATGTATGTTTAACATAAAACCGTTTAACTTAAAAAGTTTTTTTTACCTATTTTTATTATTGTTAAACTTGATAAATTTGTAAATGTGAGTGCCCTGTAACGTATTAAAATTAGTTAGACTAGCAGAATGTCGGTCCTTATGTCAGCTTGGAGTTGTCATGCTCACTCAAAGGTCACATTGGCGGTGGCACGGTCACTGCATCGCTCGATTCCCTATATTATGGTTGAGTTGGGCGATGCTGGTGTACGTGTCATGCTCGTGAACGGGTGCCGTCAATTGGGACTGGTCAGCTCCGGACTGTCTATTGTCCTTAAGGTTATTTTCTTTTTATGTTTCTCTGTATACACGCGTTACACTGTTCTCACATATTCAAACCAACTAAATAATGTATCAAAGAATGTTTATGTGACACTGATTTTAAAAGAGTAACCATGGAGTTTCTTGCTCGTTCTTCTCCATCGGAATCTACACTTTGGAACGAGCGAATAGCTTCACTAAGAGGACTGACCGACAGACTGACACTTTGTATCTTTAAAGTTGTGTTGACGTTCAAAAGTGCCTGTATGGGTCTAATTGAAATAAATGATTTTGACTTTTGACTTTTGACATTCGTATAAATTCTTAAGGTGCATTCTTAAGATAATTCGAAGCATGATTAATAGTGTCTTAATTAGATGGTGGAATCATTTTAACTGTATAATTCGCTGACAAGGACTGTCTTGTGAGCATTTTCTTTAAAATACTACATAGAGGCGTTAAGGTACCTGCTATTGTCATTAGTCCATTATTATTTCTGCGGTCTCAAACTGCTTTGGTGTATGTACGTCATATTTTGCATTACAAGTGCGTTGTGTTTCAGGTACAGGAAAAGACCAGTCATAATTTAAAGCCAATAAATATAATTAAAAATACTATTTATATAATTAAAAATATATAAATATTGGAAACGGATGGGTTAATTATATTATTACGTTCCGGTACTAAACTTCACTATATATTACACTTTAAAAAGAATTTGCGTTATACTTAATTCTAAAGTCTTTAGCATTTATGGCCATGCAAAATAGACATGTATAAAAGAAATGAGATCAAAAAGTTCACAAAGCACATCCATACATAAATTTCAAATTAAATAGAAACTCGTAAAATACTTTCAAATCCATTTCGACGTTTGAAGGTTAATTATAAACATAGTACCTATCTTTTTATATGTCTTATATCAAAGGTAAATTGGTCTTAATTAGCTTAAGCCTTACGTTTTTCATTTAGATAATTGGTGAAAATTTTATATATTTAAGTAAATTTTACTATTGAATTTCGGCATCCAGTCTTTAAAACTCTTTAAATAATTATAATAAAACACATTTCTATTGAAGAGTCGTTAATATCAGAGTTATATAGGGGTAAAGTAATTATGGTTTTTTGGGTCACACAAAGGAGTCTAATTGAAAAAGTTTTTGAATATTCTGTCACTGAATAGAACTATTTAATAACGTGAGGTATTCAATTGTGTATTACTTTTTACGATTTGTATGTTACACGTTTTATAATTATTATCATATAGTACAGATTTAACAAAATCGTCTTGTCATTTCTAACTTTAAGAGGGAACTACTTATTCTATTTACTTATTCCATGAGTTGCGGGATAAGCGCAATGAGGCACCGCGAAATAAGCGCAATGAGGCGCCGCGGCCCAGAGCAAAAGAAGGGAAGGGGTTGTCAGTAAAAGTCTGACACTTCCTATCAGCTCACCCTGGGCGGATTAGCGAATATCACCGAAGCCGCGTTGCCTTATTATATTTACCAAGCAACCCCGGCCGATCTGTACTAAGTAGGTATTTAGAAACTTAGAACTTAGATTCTCGAATCGCGTAAAGAATTCTTTCGTTTCGACACTCGGCTAAACTCTTGTTCTAGTACCTAATACTGCTGACAAGCGTATCTGGTGAAAAACGTGATCGATTACCGAAAGCATTTCTATCCAAGTGATTGAGTCACTGATCCTCACTGGATTTACCTTGTAAATTTAAAGCATTGCGCGTCTTTTGCAAATTCAGAGTTTTTTTTGTGTCTTTCGAAACTTGAATTTAAATTAAAATCATTATAAAGGCAGGTACTATGAAAGTTCATCGCATTAACACAAATTTTTATTCTCACAAATAACATAAAGTTAAGTGTGTAACTAATAGTAAAATACATTGGAACAATTTAGATGTGGAATTGCCCTTTTTTGGGGAGGGAACTCTAACCCAAACTATACGCATTTCGGGTCAAGTGCTAGGACTAGAGGTTAGGATGTGGAGGTTTTTGTTTTGTAAGAGTCTGGCACTTTCTCATTCAGGGCGAGAGGAGTCCATTCATGACATCCTCACTCAAGACCAAAAGAACCAAACTATCATATTAGGGTTTTTTGTATGTATGTGCTGTACTATCTATACTTAAAATAAATCTGTAGAGAGGTCAATTCTGTACATTAACTATATTTTCAAAATAACTATCAGGGGGTGATAAGTGATCGATACTGATGCCAAAAATACAATCAGTAACATTTTTGTCTGTCTGTCTGTCTGTCTGTATGTTCTTTATAGAAATAAAAACTACTCGACGGATTTTAATGAAACTTGGTACAATTATTCTTTATACTCCTGGGCAGGTCATAAGATATGCTTTTCATCACGCTACAAATAATAGGAGCAGAGCAGTGAAGGGAAATGTTGGGAAAACGGGCGAAGTTACTCCCTTTTTTAAGTTGCCGTCGCTTGTGTAGCCTTAATGATTAATGTTACATAGAAATTATGTAAAATTATCTCAAAAAAATGTTATACGGCATATATCTATCTTTTATGGTTAACTCACAATAGCACGTATACCTCCTGATAGCTTAGCAATTCGGATAATAAGCCATCGCGCCGTCCGTGTGAAAACTGAATCATGCTATAGGGATTATTTTTGTGTAACTGATGCAGCGCTCGACGCGACGCGGTATAAATATAATATAATAGTGGGTTTTATGAAATATTTTTAATACTTACCTGTTAGTAAGATCCGTACCATTCTATCTATGGACGGACGGATGGCGGAGACTTAGTAAGTACTAGGGTATTTACCCATTAAAATGAGACGATTAATAACAAATTTTATGTAAGTATAGCTACTTCGATTTTGTTCACGTGGGCGAAGCCGCTGGCGGAAGCTAGTTGTTTAATAATTATGCTGATATCGCGACGCTAAAATTATATTTCTTACCAATTTTTTATCGTCGTTCTAAAAATGTAACCTTGTTAGCTTCATCTCGATATAATTATAATTATTTATGTAGTGTTACAAACATACAGCTGAAAATTTAATTAAAACGTGACATGCTAATGACATTCCCAGTGTCACGTCTCTTCCAAATCCATTCACACGCCAGCCTTATGCCCGGGGCAACACCTGCCAATTCAGGTCATTTCCTTGTCGTATTTCCATTAAAAATTGAAGTAAAAACTTGAACATATCCGTTCGTTAAATATTTTATATTTCAGCGAAGTCTACCGTGTTATATATCGGTACATACATATTTGTGAAAAGTACCTTCTGTTTAGTGCTCATTGAAACTTTTGATATTGTTTGTTTTCTGGATCGCCTCCAAGAATATTGGGGTCAGTATTAAGTACTAAGATTTGGTTTTAAAATCCAATTGTATAAGTATGTAGGTATGTGAGCGATCCTTGTTTGTTTTATTATTCTTACTTTTATAGTAATATTTTATTATTTTCAATTAAAATGCTAATTCTGATTATTCTATTTTCTCATTATTTGTATAATTAAGTATACTGAATAATTTTAGTTTGATATATCATTTTTTTTTTTAATTTGGGTAACCTGTCATGGGCAAATGTACAGCTGTAAATATTGTATTCCTTTTTTAACGAATAGTATTACAAAACCTCTGTACTTATACATAATTATAAAAGTTGTTGGTAAACCTACAATAAATAAGTAATTAAGGTTTTTTTTTTGATAAGCTCAATAAATTTGAACTTTTTTATACGTAGGTACTAATAAGATTAATTATATTCATACCCCAGGGAAAGTAACGTTTACAGAGAAAGGCAAAGCTAAGTATTTTTTAATGATGGAATCCCCTTTTTTCCATATAACAATATTTACGTAACATTGCTTTATAAATAAAGTAAAATTTTATTCCACCCATTTGAGTTCCAATGATAAATGAAAGGTATGTTTCATGGCGAAGGTCGAAAAACGGTAAACAAGTGGGTGTATGTAAATCTTTTAAGGTTTTTTAAATGTTTTTGTTCTTTTTTTAATAATATTTAAAAGTCGAATTAGCACTTCTAATCTGCCAATAAGATTATGTTTCGAAGGAACTAATTCGCGTACACGAGTAAAATATAGCCTGCACTCAAGAACATTCTAGATATCTATGAGTGAAATCATTTTGGAAATCTGACCCACGTTTACAAAGAATACCCCTTACATACAAACTAACCATTACCTCTTTATAATATTGGTACAGAGTTTTCTCGTGCATTTGTTTGTCTGTCTTGTATCTGCACATCATAATATGAAATGTCAACAAATCGCTTTAGGCCACTTTTTAAAATAATTGTACAGTAGCGTTTTTAGTAATACTATACTACAATGTTCGACGAGTTAACTATACTGTAGCGACAAAGTTTAAAATTCAATTACTGTACACCTACAGTTTCTATTAAAACATTGGAATAGTTGCATGAAACAAAAAGTTGCATGATAATAATTGTTTAAAATTTTCATTTGGGACTTTTTTGGGATTAGTTTTGAA